AAGGAGACAAAAATGTTATTTATGTCCAAACGGAACACCGTAATCGGTTTATATTGAATGATACAATATCGTGACTCGTTTCGCATCTTGCCGAAATCTCGCGTCTCGCTTCGCATCTCGTTCGTCGACGCGAGACAAGAAATTGATTCCAGGTCATATACCGCTAAGAAGTATTCCCTTTATAGTCTACATAAAATGACTTAAAGGCCCATTATGCCTGAGAAATGCTTTTATTTGTATTCCTCAAAAGCTTTTTATTTCTGGTATACATTTATAGCTCCAAAACGTTACTCATTGGCTAATGACCTGAAGCTTTTTTTCATCTGCTGCTTTTTTGCAGATCGTACATTTGAAGTGATTAGAATTTTGTATTGAAGTCAAAATAATACTTTGTTTACATTTTGCTACTTTTATGACGTCTTATTTCACATTTATCGCGAATTTCTTTGGGTTACAAGCATCTAACTTTCTCAGAATTCATTATTTGAATATTAATAAATACATACTTGCCCTATCTAAATAAGTAAAAATTTATTCATTTCTGACATCTCGTGGAACGGGATACTTCAACATTGCGAGATCTCGTGTTACAATACCGTGCCTGGCTTCGTGTGTCATCGGAATGTCGCGTCTCGCCCGATTCTGAGTGGCACGATATTCCATAATTATTGCATTATTCGGATTATTTTAGGAACTCATGCATGTTGTAAGTGCTTTTTCAATGGCGGATCTTGGAAAATGACGATTTTTTATACATATACATTGTATTTCTGATGAAAACAAATACGTCTGTAATGGTCTTCTTCTTTTCTTCCATAGATCATTTAAAGGCCTTCGTGGCCGAGTGATTTCAAAAAACCACTTGCCCCTAACCGCTGTAGGTTCGACACATACACGGGGCGTGGAAGTATTCATGCGAGGATCCCGGTCAGGGTCCAAATGCGGAATACATATCCGCGAGCGCACGATATAGCTATCGCGTGCGCACATAATGGTATCGCGTGGCCACGTAAAAGCGATCGTGTGGGCACGTAATAAATAAGAAAATTCTATGTCCCCTTAGAATGCCACCGTGGATACAACCTTGTTTTGCTAAGAATATTTCTATAGTGTCATAAATCATTTATAAAACTTTAAGCATTGAAAATAAACGTATCACAATTATTAACGATAAGAATAGACTTGCTGCATATGTGTTTAGGTTCTTGATGCTGCACTTGTAGAAATTTTTATTGTGACATGCAGAACAGTGATATTCTTTAATTTAATATAATTATGACTCCTATGCAGAGGCAGGAAGTTTTTGACTGACCGGAAGTGACCTAAAACGGTATTATAAATACAGAAAACACATAACAATGGCTGGTAGCCGGTTAACAGATGGGCATAATTATTACCTTTTAAGAATTTTATGGGAAAATGTGAGACAAATGTGCTTCGAGTGTCCTTTCTATTGTGTGTCGAACACATCTGTCTCATTTCCAATTTATCGCAACTATGAATGTTTACGAGCACATCGGTCACACTTCGTGAGACAAATGTGCTCCGAGACAAATGTGCTCCTACAAGGCACGATATTGTAACACGAGATCTCGTCGAATTATCCCGCACCACGAGGTTTCAGAAATGAATAAATTTTTACTTCTTTAGATGGAGCAAGTATGAAATTATTGATATTCAAATAATGATTTCTGAGGAAGTTAGATGCTTGTAATCTAAAGAAATTCGCGATAAATGTGAAATAATGCGTCATAAAAATTGTAGTATTTTGACTTCAATACAAAATTCTAAATCACTTCAACTGTACAAACTGCAAAAAAGCAGCAGATGAAAAATGCTTTAGGTAATTAGCCAATGAGTAACTTTTTGGAGCTATAAAAGTATACCAAAAATACAAAGCTTTTAAGGAATACAAATAAAAGCATTTCTCAGGCATAATGGGCCTTTAAGTGATTTTATGTAGACTATGAAGGGAATACTACTTAGCGGTATATGACCTGGAATCAATTTCTTGTCTCACAAACTAGATGCGAAGCGAGGTGCGAGCTTTCGGCAAGATGCGAAATGAGTCACGATATTGTATCATTCAATATCAACCGATTACGGTGTTCCGTTTGGACATAAGTAACATTTTGACTCCCTGAACAGTATGCGCAATGGTACAAAGGTGAAATTAAGATGGTACGATGATTAAAACACGATGACACGATGGTGAAATCATGATGGTGCGATGACACAATAGAGAAAATAATATCGCGTTTTCATCATCATGCCATCGCAGTTTCATCAAATCGTACCATCGTATTTTCGCCATCGTAACATCGTCTTTCACCAAAGTATCATCACGTTTTCATCATCGAACCTTCGTTGGTTCACCATCGTACAATCGTTGTTTCACCATCGTACAGTCGTTGTTTCACGTTCGTACCATTATGTTTTCACCATCGCACCATCGCGTTTTCATTAACGTAATATCGTGCCACCGCGCTGTTACCATTGTACCATCGTGAACGGGATTTAGTTTGTTTCAGTGTACGCCTTCAGGTTAAGGCAATCAATTACTTGAATCAGAGATAATATGATTAATAGTTCACTGTAATTTTTCATAAAGAAAGCATAAGCAAACCTATTGATGATTACGCTTGACATGAGGTAAAACGGCGAACCTCGATTCTAAAAAAAGAATTTCTGCCGTGGGAATAATGTGACAAATAATTCATAAAAAATGACATGAGATAAATGTGCTTTCTTGTCCCTTAAAAACACATGAGACAAATGTGCTTTCTTGTCCCTTAAAAACACATGAGACAAATGTGCTTTCTTGTCCCTTAAAAACACATGAGACAAATGTGCTTTCTTGTCCCTTAAAAACACATGAGACAAATGTGCTTTCTTGTCCCTTAAAAAACTTGATCGGAGCACATTTGTCACACAAATTAGTTTTTTGGGGTAGACATTTGAGGTCCCATTTGTCTCATGTTGGACAAATGCGACCGCATTGGTCTTACGTAAGACAAATGAGCTCCGAGACAAATATGTTCCTTCATGGCGATGATGATTATGGTGGCGATGATGATCATGGTGGTAATGATGATCATGTTGATGATGATGGTTGTAGTGATAATGATGATTATGGTGGTGACGTAAATTATGGTGGTGATGATGATTATGGTGATAATGATGATTATGGTGGTTGTGATGATGAATATGGTTGTAGTTGTGGTTATGATAATGGTGTTGATGATGATAATGGTGTTAATGATGATCATGTTGGTGATGATGAGTATGGTGATTGTGATGATGATGAGTATTGTAGTGGTGATGATGATTATTGTGGTGATGATGATCATGGTGGTGATGATGAGTATTTTGGTTGTGGTGATGATGATTATTGTTGTTATGGTGATGATGGTGGTGATGATGCTGCTGATAATGATTGTTGTTGTTGTGGTGATGATGATAATTATGGTGGTGATGATGATTATGGTGGTAATGATGATTATGGTGATGAGTATGGTGGTGATGTTGATGATGATGTATATGGTGGTAATGATCATCATGGTGGTGATGTTTTTGTTTGTGATGTTTATGAAGATTATGCGTAGCTGATAACTTTCATTTCCGAATAAAATGGGAAAAGAAAGCATACTGTATTCAAATTTAAGGTAATACTGTTTTGCTAAGGCAATGTTCAAAAGGGACGCGGTCAGAAATCCTGTGTGGGTGTTCACATCTGCATTTCCTTTTCTATCATTTTAAAACTCGTCATATATGAGCAAGGCATTTCGTATGTGTATATATAACTAATTAAATGAGATGGCCATTTAAATAACCATTATAAGATTTCTAATACGAACAAGCCTCATCAAAAGTATTTCATTAAGGATAAAATGGCAGCAAACTGAATTATTATTGGTCGCATAAATTGTCATGATTTGAAAATCGCTCTATATATAGATACTACAGAATGAAAGATGAACATGAACATTTCTTGCATTATTATTATATTATAAAAATAAAATCAAAAGTTGCATCGAAAAACTCTGAAACCATCATTTTGTGATGGTGGATGAGCAGTGGCTATGCTTTCATGAATATTCTGCTAGGCGCTGTGTCGTAATTGGACTGGCATTTCGATGTGGTGGTATGTTTGTACATATTCTCTCACTATATATATTTATGTTACGAAGGTAATTTATCATTTATTGTCGCATATCTGTCAGTTTATCATAGAAATCTAATTTTACTTTGACCTATGAATAATAGACAGGTACAAAAATGGTTATAAACCGGACAAATTGTGACAGTTTTATTTGATAGCACGGCCTTTTTATATCATAATTATCAATGTAAGACAGTGAAAGCGAAAATGAGTAATTTACAATCATAAAGTCTTCAACGTGAAGTCTGGCCACTTTTCCTTAATTGACCACGTGCTACAGCAGTTTACAACAAAACAAGAATATTTATATAGAATATATCACATAATAATCCTAAAATACAAATGGCATAGTTATTTGGAAGGAGGCCATTTAAATAATCATTATAAGATTTCTAATACGAACATGCCCCATCAAAAGTATTTCATTAAAGATGAAATGGCAGCAAACTGAATTATTATTGGTCGCATAAATTGTCACGATTTGAAAATCGCTCTATATATAGATACAACAGAATGAAAGATAAACATGAACATTTCTTGCATTACTATTATATTATAAAAATAAAGTCAAATGTTGCATCGAAAAAGAGATCCCATTAACTTATATTACGTTTTTCTTCATACATGTATATAGAACGTTAAATAAAAAGTACACGTAAACCGCGTATTTCTTGCACTCAACAATCATCTTGTGTATAAACACGTTTGTTTAAATGAAATACATTTAAATATGGAATTTACCCCGATTAGTTATCGTTCTAAATCTAACCGGAATAATACACGATTCAAATGCGTTGCATGATTATTTAAGATAATTAAAATAACGCTGAATAATTACCACAGATCGTGAGACACAATCCAATTGAACGTAACTTAGCCGCCATTGTAGTGACAAAGACTTTCTTATCAGAAAAACTGACGATTTTAAAGACATGAGAAACTTATCGTTAGTCTTATCATGTAGTGCATTAAGTTTTCAGTGCTTAAAAAGACGGCCTTAGTTTTATAAATAGCTAAAATATGCTGATTGCGAAAGTAATAATGATATCACCTTCAATGTCAAGGTCATTGATGAGTGAATGTTACAATCAATTTAATCTACTTAAAGGTCTTGTCCAAAGGATTGTGTCCAAGCATGAAGACAATACATGCATTAAACAAAAATCAAGCAAAATTTTTGACCTTGAAAGTCAAGATCATTATCAGTCATGGTAAAGTTCAGTCTGGTCCAAATGGGTTGTGGTGTCCAAGTTTAAGAAAGGCAACGGGGACGAAAATCTGATTGTAATTACACTAAAAATGGCTCAAAATTTTGCTTCGAAAAAACCCTTATTTAAAATCTTTTAAATCAACTTATTCGGCATGATTCAGCAGTTTCCGCCACGTTCCGTAGCAAGTTTAAAAGTCCTTTCGACGATCCTCGTTTTCTGGGATCTTATTGTAAGCTTTCTATTGCTTTAAATGTGCACAGGGTACGAATTCACACATAATATTGTAACTGACGCCGTTATGATGACTGGTGTTTATAACGTCAGAAAATTCATAATCATATCAAAACTTATATTGCTATCATATACAACAATACCTCTAATATAGAACATGTATTAGTATATACATTCATTTTGACTGCTTCATACTTTATTGAAAAGTTATATTTGTCACTGTCCTTTTGCTCTTCCTGCTATTATTGTAGATATTTTCCGATCGATACACTGGGTCAATAGTGCCATTATAATTGACTTGAATTTTCCCTGACCACTGTACTAAAAAATGTATCTAAGAAAAAAGATAAGTTGGCTTCTTCGGCAAATTTTGAATTTTTTAATTTGTTTGCATAAACAAAACTACCTTTAAGTTTGTCTTTACATTTATTTGATAAAGTCCATACAATTTATTTTGGAACGGAATTGTTGTGCGGTGATTGCACGTAAAATAATAGTTATGTCATTGTGATATGAAGTGATGTCATGTAACTATAGTTACAATAAATGCTCTAAAAATGTAGAAATGTTTCAGTAACGGTGACATAATTTAAAAAAGTTAAAGCATGCAAATATGCAGACAAATTATGAAATAATGTTTATATACAAAATCCTGTCACGTCTCAGTTTATTCTGTGTGTTTTGAAAATAATGACACAAGAGATCCCTGACAATTTCTTGAATTTGGAGATGGATTCTTTTTCGAAATTCAAAGCATTGGATATAGTTATTTCTGAAACATAAATATAAATATAATTTAATTATTGTTGAACATTCGAAAATAAATTTCTAAATTTCTAAAAGATATAGAAGTAATTTCGTTCAAAGTGAAGAATAAAACGGTGTTCAAAGTCTTATTAATTCATTATGTTAATAGTTTTGCTGTGACTGGACTGAGTGATAAAATATAAACATCAGTTAAACTAAACAGTCTCGGGCGCATTGTTTTCCATGCTAATTATAGGATATAATGATTCATATTGAAAAGGAAATAAATAAAATACTTACAAAACCATGTGTATTGTAGTGAAAATTTACATTATTGCGTGGTTGTTATTATTTTCAAAGCCATTGTTGTTTCCAAATCCATTGTTGTTGCCAAACCCGTTATTGTTGTTGTCAAAGAATCCATTGTTGTTGACAAATCCGTTATTGTTGTTGTTGTTGTCAAAGAATCCATGGTTGTTGCCAAATCCGTTATTGTTGTTGTTGTTGTCAAAGAATACATTGTTGTTATCGAATCCATTATTATTGTTGTTAAAGAATCCATTGTTGTTGTTTCCGAAACCATTATTGTTGTCAAAGTTTCCGTTATTGTTTCCGAAACCATTGTTATTATTGCCAAATACTCCAACACTCGGTCCACCGCTTATCACTACATCAGCGTCATCTATTAAAAAAAAAATACAGTATAATTTGTTTTAATTCGTATATTAGCACACTTAAAACTCGTCTGCCATTTCTAAAATACATTACTTGGTTTGCCATCAATTTTGTTTCTACGCCTTTGATGGCATCAGGGTAATTATTTATAAAAAAAATCATGTCTGTATGATACTGATATCATAAAAAGGAGAGTTTCATGACTTCACTGGAACAAAATGCATGTACACACATTTTCAACACAATATAATTATGAATTCTGTATAGACAAACTATATGAATGTATATAAACAATTGTTTGTCATATAAACCTCTCCAGGACGCTCGGGTTACACATTCATATAACCTGGGCCATATAACCTTTAAACATCTTCATCATGAATTAAATCTACTGATTATAGAAATATTAAACTAAAAATGAATACAATGAATCATCTGATGCATAATTACTCTAAACTAAAAATCATACATAAAACAATATATCGCATAAATCTTTAACTAAAATATGAAAATTATATGGGGTTTAATAATCATAAATCTCAATCGTAGATATTTCTTTGAACGGAAATTTAAACGTTGGAATATCTTTCAGTAAAATTATTAAAAAAGTAATAGGACTGCAGCTTTACTGTTCACATCTTTTTACAGGAGACAAATATTTATAAACAGTGAAAAAAATCAATACAATATGTTTACAAATAATAATTCTGGACGCACGCTAATAATACAATAAATGACGTTCATGACTGACGTCGCAAAATAAAAACAACGTGTAACAAGTGTAATTCTTTCCGAAACTATCCCCCCTTAGGTAGTGATCTAGGTGTCTGAATCATGTGTGGAGATAAGGCGAGAAAAAATGGTGGCTGATTTGGAACGCTTTTGTGCATCGTGTTGGCGCTAGCGACAACAGGACAAATAGCCAAACGCCTCGTTGTCGGACTTTCGTCTTGTCATCCTGTCGCTAACGATGTACCAAACGGTGCGTTGTCGTGCGGCGTGATGTCGCTATGTCACATTGTCGCTCTGTTTAAATCGAAGGATTGGCCTGTAAGCCAAGCGACAGGGAGACATCGCGACAACGCGCGCACGACAACAATCAGTTAGAAGTACAACTTCTACAAACTTTTATTATATTTTGTATTTGCTGCGCCGGGTACGTGTTATTCAATATCAAAGGCAACACCCGTTTAGCGCAATAAACTCATTAAATTGTTGAAAAATTTTAAAGATCGCCGTGTATATGAAAATATTTTAAATTGAATGGAATATGAAATGGAATATGAAGATGTAAGACTTTAAGTCCTATTACTTTTTGAACAACCCTCGTATAGAGATATTATTGCGTCCATTGTGCAGGAGTGCTGTTTCAGAACAAAGATATAAAAACATAACAAGTGGCGGTTTGTCATTTGGTTTTTGCTTCTGTATATCCGACCCTGTCCCATCAAACAAAATGACAAATTTTCAAATATTTATGGCACGACACATTTCATTTCTCGAAACTTGAATCCATCCAATTTATCTTTTGGCTGTATTTTATAAACTTTTCTGTCTTTTTGTCTCTTCTTAATAAAGTATTAATTTAGGAGTGTGATCAGCAGTAATCGTCACAAACATTTCGTTAGTTTTCAAACATCCCTATAGCGTAAAGTTGAAAAGTCAATTCTTGAAGTTTTCGGGAATATCATATAAGAGAAACGTAACGAATCTTTATCTTATATCATATATCAGTCAACTAGATTGGTTTACACCATTTAGATTTCGTTCAAAGGTCTAGCTATCTAGAACTTATTTTAAGACTGTATTGAGTGAATGTTCATTTCTTTAATTAAGGCAATTATATCGCAACATCATTGATGAACATTTTTGAACATGCCGTTTCAACCGTATTCAGAAAGGGCAAAGCACGATAAGATAGAGCGCGGAGAACACAATACAAAAGCCCAAAGTGCGACAGAATAATTAATTATTGCAATAATTAAATATCGCTCTTTCGTGTCGCTAAATCGCAATTTCGCATCATGGTTCGACTTATCGTTATTTATGAATTAATGATGGGCAGATATTTTCACCATCAATTTATAGACCATCTTTTTTGTAGCTTGCTGTATTGTGTTTATATCACCTTCACGTGTTCTAATTTACAAATGTTTATATATTGTATATTGTAAACTTTGACTGAAGTTAAATAAATCTGTTTTGCTTTAATTTATACTTTTTGTAATGAAGACATGATAACTTTAGGCAATTTCCAGCAGATAACGGAAAATGCCGAGAGAAAAAGCAAAAATAAGAAAATGGTTTATAAAAGTGGGGTGACGTTAAAACTGTACACTACCAAATTCTAAGATTAGTATAAGTAGCTAACGAGCTTACAAACCCGTAATTATATTGCATTACTGACTGCCGCCTTGTTTTTTTTACCATTACATCTGGTAAAAATATGTATTCACAATTGAAAATCAAACATTATTTCTATGTCATGTCTTCGGCTTCCCTCTGGTAATGTTCATTTTAATTTGTTTTCTTTGCTTGAAGCAAGACAAATGTGTATGAACTACAACTAACAAATGGAAATGATATCAAATACTTTGTTAGTAATCAAGTGGTCGAACTACACTATAACTACTGTTGTACTACAAAGTTAGTAGTTATCAATTTTAGTACAAGAACTACTGTTAAGATTTGATAAAATTTATTTTTCTTGTCATCTACATGACAGAACAACCATTCATCTGATTCATACATGATTCACAGGTATACAGTATATATCTTTTTTACGATGAGTAATAATGAAATAAATAGGAAAAATGAATGAGATCAATGACTGGTTATTACATTTGTTTTCTATGTTTAATATCAACAATTTTACTTTATGCATGAGTACTAAAAAATCCACATTTCTAAAACCTATGGTAACTCTTAAGCAAATGTATGCGTTTCTCAATAAAAATTGGAAATGCAATAAAAAAAATGATTATGAAGTTATTTCTTAAAATAAATACACAAGAATGTAAGTTAAATGTCTCAGGAAGTTTGCACATCAATTATGTTAGTTGCAATGACTACGCATAAAGCATCTATATCTAATTCATGCATTTTAATCTAAAATGAAAATGTTGTACGATTACACTAAGGAAAACACTGAAATAAACTGTCATTCAAAAATCTTTTGTCTAAAAGTGGACAATATCCTGGGCATGGGAGATTTCTGGAAAATGCCCTCCTGTCTTATGACCGGTCTGTGACTTTCCATGATGCTGAAATGGAGCTTGAATTGGTCCTGTTTGAGCTGGGAGTTGAGAACCGCCGAGATCATGACCTCCTACAAGTGAACCCTGAATTCCAGACTCGATGAACCCTCCATTGTTGTTGAATCCATTTTCATGTCCGTTGTCAAAACCATTGTCGAATTCCCCGAAAGCTCCGGCTCCAGCAGCGGCACCTGCACCAGCTACGGCCCCAGCACCAGCAGCGGCACCTACGGCAGTAATACCGCCAAACCCATCGATATTAATATTTACATTGTCGGCATCGCCTGAAAGCAAAGCAGCGAATCAAAGCATTTTGTTAGTAAGCAGTTAAGATGTGGTTTACATAAAATGTGTAAATATTAGTACGATTCTACAAGTAAACTAAATATATGAACTAATTCAGAGTTGTGTAGCACAGGGCAAGATCATCTTCTTCATTTACTAAACAGTCATCTTCAAGTCACCTTTCCTCGTTCCAAAACGGACGAAAAGGAAAGACAACTTTGTGTGGGAAAGAAATACTGTTCGGCTTTTTAATGAATCGTATCCTTAAAAGGCTTATTAGTATTCTACAAGTTAATGTGGTTATTGATCTACTAAAATATGTTATGTTACATGATATTATAAAAATGAATATGGAATTCTACAAATAAGATATTAAAAGGGAAATCTGTATGGACATCGAATGTGTTTCGTCATTAGAAATGAAGTGAGAGGTGTTACTTACTGACAGAGGAGTGGAGTGCAACATCTGTAAAAGGAGAAATACATTGATTATTAATGAAAAGGTATGATGTATATTTAACAGATGCACAGTTTTCACAGTTTTAGTTCAGATATATTAACAATAGTGTAAGATTAATTTGAAATATGACTAGATATTAGTCGTTATATTAAAACTGTTGCCAATATATTCCAAACAAAAATAAATTCGTATTACATTAAGAACTTTTTTCAATCAATGGTTTCGTCTTATTATTAGAAAAAGACACATACCGATAGCACCGGCTCTAGCACCGGCCCCAGCTCCTGCAATAGCACCAGCACCTGCGAAAGCCCCGGCACCTGCACCTGCTCCGGCGTACACTGGTACTGAAATAACAATAAAGAACGTTTGATTAAAATTCGATTAAAAACTGTTTCTCTAATACAAACAAATGCGTAAATCAATTATTGCACTATCTATGAATAAATGCTAGAAACTGTAAAAAGTATAAGTGGATAATCAAAAAATTCTTAAACAAGGTCGATTCTATAAACAAGTAAGCCTTACCTTCTCTATCAACGTAAACTGGCACCTCGACTTTTCTTTCAATGTAAACCGGGACAACAACTGCAATATAAAAATTATCACTAAATATAACTGTTCTACACATTTTATTGTTTTATTATCATTATTATAAATATGATATTGTTGTTGTTGTTGTTATGGTGTTCTAATAGTAAGTACAACTTTCTCCTTGTATTAAAATCTGTACGCAGTTAAAACAAAAGCCCTTATAGCCATGAATATAATAAGTCCGATATCATCAGCAGATGTTTATGCACGCAAAAACACGTGCATAAACGCACTAACTATATTCTAACATTAAAACTAAGTAGCTACCCGTCAGTGCATTTTTTCATAATAAACTACCTGCGTATGACAAGTATCAAGAGTTCAATTACGTTATTATTTAATCAAAGAGGAAACGTAAAGAATATGATCAAATTTCAAAAGAATACCTCTTTTTGGAACTGGAACTCTCTTTATGATTGGTACATATTTCTTTTGGACAATTGGTCTCTTCATTGGAAATTTCTTGCCATGGACTGAAAACGTTACATAATGGTTTAGTTACAACAATACTTTGTTACATCTGTTTAGAAACAACTGTTTGTTGTTTTTTTTTCAGCTAAAATAAAAAAGGATATTAAAACCACTCGTCAATATGTATGAAATCATATATAACAAAAGTAGAAACCGGAAACACTACCGAGCTTCATTCTTAATTAACACAGGCTGAATCCTCTACCGATGTTTAAAATCCTGCATTTATAATTATATAATGATAACTGAAATAATAATATAATATTTATATAGTAACTTACATTTTGGTTGTGGTGGGAAGAACACTGAAAAGAAATAGAGAAAACAATACAAAAGATGGTCAACAATAGTAATTATATTGATATAAAACATTAGTTTGAATAACTTAATCACTCTTTTAAACTTAATGCCTTAACCTCGTGTTTGTTAAATGTGCATTATATTTATATCGGATGTTGTTATATTATATAAATATCTTAAAACACGAGATGCATTTGTGTAACTAGGTCAATTATGCTCATCTTGCTAGCTAATTGAGAGTCCATTGATTATACTTATGTTGTAAGACTCATATGTATATATTTGTCAAATATGTCATACTAACTTAAAAGTGGAAATAAAAAAGTAAAATTATATACACACGGGTGTAACAAAAATACATTACGGCCGCAACATATTGACAACTGCTGTTGTATGTAATATTGAAATAGAATAAGATAAATTAGTTGAATACAAAATAATATCAAGTCTAAATACACAGAGAAAAATGCAGTCATAGCCATATGGGCATAATGCTAAATTTAAACAATATATATGTTACAAAAGCAAATAGAATTTATGAATACAAGTATAAAACATAGGGAAAAGATTGAACCGAGTTACTTACTGGCTTGTGTCACAGCTGAAATATGAAAATAAAGAAAAGTTAATATGAATTGACAAAAATAATCGTGAAATAAGATTAATATGCAGAAGAAAAGATGATTTATACAGTTCTATATAGTATCAGTTTAAATACTAATTAAGAATGTAAAAGTAAAACTACATAATATATACATTTTATTGTTTTTATAATTGCCCATTTGAAAATGAAAGAAAATATTTATTTTATCGTATACAACTTGAAACAACAAGTACCTATCTCTTTTTAAACTATTGGTCAAAAATTAATCTCGCAACAAACGTATATCATTTCAAGGCTTTAAAGATAGAAGTTTATATAAAAAAAAGAAACAAAATGAAGCCATTAAATGTTTTAACTTAACAATTGTCACCTTAATGTTTTGTATGAAGAAAAATCAGAGTATGAATTAGGTAAAAAGAAGATGCACTTTTAAACAAAATGTACTTACCGAACACGCAAAGCAAAACTAGTCCTTTAGTGAACATGATTATTTTTGGTTGCTTTATTTCCTTGGCAAAGAACTATCCGAGTCCAAATGAAACTTGGCGATGAGCGATGTTGCACTGGACCCGAGGTTTTAAATACGGTCAACAAACTATGTTGAGTGACACCCCACTTTCGCCATGGACCAATCAGAATCGAGCAAATCTAATTAGTCTGGTTCTCTTTTCTCGTTAATAATTCCGTCATCTTCCTGTCTCAAATGCCATGTTAAAGTCAGTCTAGGTCATAGGTCAATGAAATAGATAGCCAAGGGGTTCATGAATACACATTTGTAACAGACAATAAGACAATTACCGGACATTACGAGACGCGCATATAGTCTGCGTGACAAGCGGTGATTTACAATGACATCATAGTCGTATTTTTGCGCGAAACTTGTCAAATAATTGCAGTTTGATATATCAACGATTGTTACAATGACATATGTGTATTATTTTTGCTCTGTTCACTTTTGTCAAGATATAGAAAATAATATATTGAATCAGTTTGAATGTAACCTATCCAAAATACAAATACCCAAAGCGTAGTTAACACCATAATCAGGAAAATGCATGCATTTAAAAAAAATAATATGCAAGTGATTTGGACAAAAATAAGAATTATATGTAAACCATCCCTGAATCAATGAAAAAAGTGTATTTATCACTGGTTATCAATAATATTTTCTCTTTCAAATGACACGTTTTTATCAAAGTTTGTCTGACTGGATTAAGATCATTCGTTCGTCGACTAGTTTGCCTTCCTCCAAACGTATAATTTAGATTTCAGTCGCAGACCGATTTTCTGAATTTCCGGCAGTGTGTTTGAAAATAACAATTTAGATATGGACATATATTGTCGTTTTTTGTATGTGTTTTTTTTATCCATTTAAAATTAATCTTGTCTGGACAACAACAGATCGTGTTTTGCAAGTTTAACTTGTTAGCGTGATTTATTCATTATATACATTATGATCTTTATAAACGAATGAATTTCGGTTGTCATAATAACAAGTTTTTAAGGTATTAGATGTAAAGTTGAAAATGTTGCAAAAGTCATTTGAATTCTAACATTATTAATTTTATTAAAAAAGTTGGTCCCCAGTATGGCTTGTACCCACATCCAGACCATCAGTGAAAATAAATACTTTTCAGGAAAGGAGGTTAGTTTAAACAATACATTTTTTATTTTATTTATAAACATTACATTTACATGGTAATTGACAAATAATAAATTGGGAAGCTTGAAAAGATTTTTTAGAAACTCTTTCCGTAATCACAAAGAGTATGTAAAATGGTAACAATTATATATGCATGTTTGTGTTAAATACAAATAACATTTTCATTATTAACTTGCTTCTTTACATGTACAAGAAAGTTAGCAATTTGCACTCTAGTTTTCCTAATCGAAACGACCTTAACAATAAAATATAGACATAAAAAAGTGAAGGAAAACCCTATAGCTCTATAGCATAAATACACGTACGTGATAAATGTTTTAACTTATCAAGAAAATACTAATAGTAATAGAACTTTTAAACATGTTTGAAAAAATTAAAGGGAAAAAAAGATATGGAAACGTAAGGAGGTTCTGCATTAGGCCTCTTATGTAAAAAATAGTGCATTATAAAGCGGACAGACATGCTGGTACATGTATATTGTTGTAAGGACCAAAATCACTCGGTTGATGTAACATTTCACAAAAAATATGTGCCTTGTCAACAAATACAACTGTAAACAAATGAAGATGTTAATTTAGCCTACACAATTTAAAACTAAAACCAAGACATTTATAATGTGCCTTGTAATGAGTCAATTGCTTTTAAAAGTGACTTTGTTTTTAACAACTTTCGTGTAAAGAAAAGTTAACTCGTAAACATTTCAGAAAGGTATATTCTGAATGAAAGGTGGTTCTAGGTCATACACATACTTCGGAAAATTGAATCTAAGTTTTAATATGTTGAAGTGCATTGAAAAAAACCAGGTATTTAACATACATATATATTTTTGTTACGGGAGGGCTATTGTCCGCCCAGTCATTTTCACGGGAGGGCTTTTGTCCGCCCTGTTATTTTCACGGGAGGGCTTTTGTCCACCTTGTCATTTTTGGACGGTAGGGCTTTTGTCCGGGAGGGCTTTTGTCCGTTCAATATAGATTGATGCCAGTGAAATAAAATACACGAAAACAGTGAAACAATACATGTAATATCCAAAAAAAAGTAAAACTATGACATGAAATATTATACATGTTTAACCATGGTTTTTACTTAAAATAAATAAGGTCATAAAAATGAAAGTAACATAATGAAAACAAATACTAGTATAACTTAATGTGTCAATGTTAATTTAATCAATATGACTTTTATTGACCACAGCAGGTGTTGAATGTAGAGAAAATGTTTCATTTTGTAATAGGAAAGTTTTGCATTCACAGATATATAAATGTCAAGATGAGACAAAGACAACAAGTACATATATAAGTTGTAAAGTCTTTCTGGACAAATATTGCATATATACATGTATATATACTGGACATATTTGCATAAATGATAGTAAAAGGTTCTTGTTTACTAGCTATGTGACACATTGAGGTGTTTAATCTGTGTCAAACGTGAAATGTGTGACATGACTTCGGCAAATACGTCATATACATGCTTCTAATATGGAGAATTTGCTTTATACAATGCATTAAAAATTCCCATAGAAATTCTATCCTTGATAAAACTTAACGATTTTGCTGCTAAATGTGTACATGTACGTATATTAATCGTGCTTATTTAGACTTTGGAATTGAAATGGAGCATCTAATAATTTAGAAACATGTTAGATACTGACTGATCCTGATATAACTGGTGATTTTTATTCAAATGTTTACACATCTTGTTATTGAAAATTACTCAAGAAAATAACATGATGGTATCTACCGTGTCAAAAAATAATTAAAATAGAAAAGTTACAAAAAATATCTTTTAATATAGAAAAAGATGCGCCAATATTGATCAGAAAAACGTACAGTTCTTTTACATTCCGTACAGTTCTTTTACATTCCGTACAGTTCTTTTACATTCTGTACAGTTCTTTTACATTCTGTACAGTTCTTTTACATTCTTTACATTCCGTACAGTTCTTTTACATTCTGTACAGTTCTTTTACATTCTCTACAGTTCTTTTACATTCTCTACAATTCTTTTACATTACGTAAAGTTCTTTAACATTCCGTACAGTTCTTTTACATTTTGTACAGTTCTTTTACATTCTGTACAGTTCTTTTACATTCCGTACAGTTCTTTTACATTCTGTAAAGTTCTTTTACATTCCGTACAGTTCTTTTACATTCTCTACAGTTCTTTTACATTACGTACAGTTCTTTTACATTCCGTACAGTTCTTTTACATTTTGTACAGTTCTTTTACATTCTGTACAGTTCTTTTACATTCCGTACAGTTCTTTTACATTCTGTACAGTTCTTTTACATTCTGTACAGTTCTTTTACATTCCGTACAGTTCTTTTACATTCCGTACAGTTCTTTTACATTCCGTACAGTTCTTTTACATTCCGTACAGTTCTTTTTCATTCCGTACAGTTCTTTTACATTCCGTACAGTTCTTTTACATTCTGTACAGTTCTTTTTTCAGCAAAATTACTTTTAAATTACATTTCCTTCTGTCAAAAAAGAAAATTATCTTATTTATGTGGAATTTTACTCCATATATCGGACTAAACTTAGTCAACGACTCCAAGCAATAAATGACTTTTTTTACATGTTAGTTTCTTAGCATAGGTTAGACCATTCTGTGTTTTGTTTGTTTGTTTTAGGTTTTACGTCACATCGACACAGTATAGGTCATATCGCGACGTTCCAGCGAAGACCTCAGGTGCCCTTCCGTGCATTATTTCAGGCACGAACGGGTACCTGAGTAGAACCACCGACGTTCCGTAAGCTAGCTGGATAGCTTCCTCACATGAAAGAATCCAAAGTCCCTGTCGGGATTCGAACCCACAGAGGTGAGGGGCAAGTGGTTTGAAGTCAACGACCTTATCCACTCGGCCACGGACGCCCCACCGTTCTGTGTATTCTAACTACTGTGTCCGGAAGTTTGACGGAAATGGCCGAGATGGTGACTGAATCACCCACAAAGACTGCATTGCAAATGGGGGTTCGTGGGTTCAAATCTCAGTAAGATCACCTCTTTCTGACTTTTTTTCTTTGTATCTCTTAGATCTCTTTGACAAGAAAAATTATGTAATTATGTTAGGTATTTATTGGCTAAGTTATGCTAAATTTGATAACAAATATTGTTCCTAATATTTTAAAGTCTAATAAAGTAAACACACAATCTGGTAAAAGTAAATAATATTTGACAAGATCAACCAATATAATACTGATGCACTTTAGACAAATAACCCTTCTAAAAATTTGTGATTTTTCGGGATATTTTGAATTAGGCTCGGTAATGCCTAGGTCACAAATAAAACGGCGACCGCCCAATTAAACGATTTTTACACCATCGTCGCCTTTGACGATTTTTCCGAACGCCGGGCGATTTTAAATCTGATATCTTGCGTGGTCATGAATGAAACTGTCGCCGGGTGATTTTTTGCCGAAATAATGTTACAGCATTCAAAGACCGGGCGGTCGCCGCTCCATGTCCGGACGTGCGATTTATAAATGGATCGGACGGTCGCCGCGTGGGCGCCGGGCGGTAAAGGCTTGGCTTTATATGATATTCTTTCAAAAATCAGTCAGTGGTTAATATGCCGGCAGTTGATAGAGAAAAGATGAAGACCAAGAAAATAATGCAACAATTGTAGGTTGCCTTTTCCTTAATACTAGACGCTCTTGCTGGACATAAAGTTTATGTTAAATCCAAAAGAATTTAAAGATACAATTTAGGCAACTACAAAAATCTCAAGTCGCGATTACAACAAACTCAAGTCCCGCGAAACGATGACCACGCGGTACCTGTGCATGAATCATCCGGGTACCGGGCGATACCCGTTCGCCAACTGGTGTCTATTCAGGCGCCGGGAGGGGCCCCGGCGATGTCTGCCCGGATGCCTTTAAAAATCGGACGGTGTTTTTGTATCAAAAACAATCGTCCGATTCAAAAAAC